TTAAAAGGAAATAATATTCAAAGTAACTTATTATGAAACTGCTGTTTTAATAATATAAATTTATAAAAATAAAACATGATTTAAATTATGAGTTTATTGCAACTGGATTTTTAGAAACAATATTAATTTCTTCTAAATTATTTTTTCTTGAAAATGGATATGTGGGTAGTCTGGATCTTGGTGTTCGTTCTGATAATGTGTCGTCATTCGGGAAATCAAGGTACTGATCTAACGATGCTCCGAATCTATTACTTTGGAAACAAAACTTATCTATTCGATTTGTATACTGGATGATTTTATACCGACTAATTTTTACAAAAATATTTCACTCAGATGTTTTGGTTTATTTCACAAATCAGTGAATTACACTCGTTCAGTTTAATTTGTAGTCATAACGTAGCGACGTGTTATTGAAAAATAAATTCGTCAAGTGTATTTCAAAACTGCAATCGACACGATCCGGTTTGAACCAAAACAAACCCTTATTATCTAAATGGCTTATTTACAACGGTATTGTTTAAATATTTTGCTTGATAAGTATAAGGTTGCAAATTCATATAGTTCAGCAGAAACAACTCCAATCTTGACAAAAACACAGCAACAGATAGCTTCGAACCTTTTCATTCAATCTCCATTACTGAATCGCGAGAGATTTCGATTAAAAAAGTATTTCCAATTTAGCGATTCTCGAGATTTCTATGCAGCCACGCCTCCTCTTTTAAGCCCGGAAAGAAACTCTTTGAATAATGCATGATTTTCATAACCTATAAGCCTAGATCTGTCCGCGGCCGATATCCGACGCAAGGGGAACACCGAATTTCCCCAATAAATTCAGCGAAAGTTGTTCAAATCGAATTTTCTTTATACATAAAAGATTATTGCATAAACTTTTTCGGGGAAAGCCAGCAGACGGGAGTTTTTATTCCTAATTTAATCAAACAATGAGGGTACTGAATAATACTTCGTTTTATATAAGGAAACAGATTCGAACCACTGATCTGTAATATTCACTGAATAGGATATGGATTAAATTTAACATCGTGAAAATGTGTGCTAACAAGGATACCGGAGTGCCATGAATATATAGATTTGGGAAAATTATAGCGGGCAAATTTGAAATTCAAAAAAGAGCTAAAATATATTTTATTGGATTTTTTTTAATTCGTAAGAATTAAAACTTACTAAATGTTTCTTTCCTACTTCCATAAGACTACAAAATTTTACTCTTTACAAAAAATTTCTAATTTGGGTACTTAACCTATATTTTAATTTTTTATAAAAGAAAAAATTAGGAACAAGAAGCATGTTGTGATGAATAAATGGAGAATTTTGTAGAATTTTCTGATATTTTCGTACTATTTTGCTTTGTCTAACTAATTATAGTAGATAGTAGGATAGTCCACTGCAAATTTCAGCTGTCATCTGATAACGAAATAAAATATTGAATTCTATTTTAATTTATATGTTTTAACCACTTTGCTCAGGTTAGTGATTGGCACAGATGCCGCATTTTATTTCATTTTTGTGCGCTTCTATTGGTTAATCGGTCGTTAGTCATTTAGACGACGCGCAAATATTTTTTGTCAGAGTCGAATTCAGTTCAATCTGGATAATTATAAACGGCGTTTTGGTAGCATTCACCGTGTTGGTTAGTTTGGACATTTTGTATGTTTGATTGATTATAATTCATTATATTATAGTTTAGATATACATATATTGTGTTATTATTTTTTTTGTTTTTGTGGTTGTTGTTAGTTTGAACATTTAATTGACTATATTTTGTAATTGCTGCGTGACACTATGTCCTCCACAGATACAGCAGATTAAGTCCAGAAAAATGTTTTTACTCCTTCTAAAAAGCGACTGAAAAAGGGACATTTGGTCATCCGTACTAAAGAAATGGTTCTTAATATTTATAAGCATTAAATTTTATAGAACCCTAATATGTTGGTACATGATGTTGAAAAGAGAGTTGCTGATAAAATAGGGATGTGTGCTAAAACCGTTTTTAATGTTATGAAGGAGTATAGGCAGATTCATAAATTTTCTGAACCAAAAAGAAAGCTACGTTATAAACAAATTAGTGGCTATGTGGATGATTTTGATAAAAATGCAATAAGACGCAAAGTATATCAATTCTTCTTTAGAAATTAACTTCCAACAATTGATAAGGTTTTATAAGAAGTCAACGATGATCTATATTTGTCTACTTTTAAGCGAGCTACATTTTACAAGCTTTTCAAAACTCTTAATTTTAAATTTAAAACTCGAGGAAAAAATAGTTTGCTTTTAGACAAAAATGAAATTGTTTCGTCCTACGCCACAAAAAATTAGACGGTACAGGGAAGAAAAGCAAAAAATATATTATCTTGATGAGACTTGGATTAACGCAGGCCACACCAAATCAAAAGTATGTTTCGATATGTCGGTTTTTTCATTCAGACAAGCCTTTTTGGATGAACTTTTAACTGGTTTTAAAAACCCATCAGGTATGTGCGTAAAAACAGCTCATTATATGCCATATTGGAAGTGAAGAAGGCTTTGTCTCTAATGCACTTTATGTATTTGAGTTGAAAAATCCGGTGACTACCAAGATGAAATGTGTGAAGAAACGTTCAAATAGTGGTTTTCAAACACCCTACCAAAATTAGAAGATAACTGCATTATTATTCGAGCAAGCTGGAAAAAATATCTACGACGTCTAAAAAAGGTAATATTTAAAAATGGCTATAAGGGAAAAAAATTGAATTCGACTACCAAATGCTTAAGATCCAACTTCTAAAACTTGGTAAGCAACATAAACATTATGATAGGTATGTAATAGATGAAATGGCTAAGCAGCAAAACAACATAATACTTCACATGTCTCCGTATCATTGTGAACTTAACCCTATTGAATTAATCTAGGTTGACGTTAAACAATACGTAGCCGATAAAAACTCAACATTTAAATCTGGAGATATTAAAATTCTGTTTGAAGAAGTAATATTATTAATTTCTCCAGAAAAATGGAAAAAGTGTATCGACCATGTTCGCAAAAAAGTTGAAGTAAAAATGTGGGAGTTGGATAATATTATAGAGGTTCAGGTAGAACCATTTGTAATTTTGATTAATGAAGATAGCCTTTCAAGTCTAACTAATTTATCCGATTCAGAATAGTGCTAAGTCAAGTAAGGAAGATTGCTATAATACAGGGTACAAGTTGTCTAATCTATATACTAGTAGAACAAGAACAATAAAGAACAAAAGTTATCAAAAATACAAAAAGTTTCTTTTTAAGATGCACAATTTTAAATCAAATACCAGATTCAAATACCAAATACCAAGTTTTTTTAATGCTTTTAGTAGATATATATTAGCTATTAAAGAATTTGCAATTATTTGGACACCCTGTACAATATAATTTTATATTATGATTGTTTTAATGCTCTGTATCACAGTAGACATATGTAATGAACTAAATATAATGCAACCATCTCTTTTAAAGTCAAATACATTTATTAATTTGTATTGCAGGTTAACGCAGTTTATGTCGCTCACCTATCTTCGTCCAGAAATGTCACTAAAGTCTGGGAGACCGTGTATGGCATTTATTTTATAGTTTTACTTTACAAAATATGTTTTTATCGTAATAAAAAAATAATTTCACAATTACACTCTTTTATTTTACATTTTTGCAAGACGGAAAAGTAAAATACGGCCCTGCTCAATTTTAGCGTCCACCTGCTTCTGTTTACATCAGGCGTAAATTAAATTTAAATAGACTTTAGGCAACATTGTTCTAGCTTCGTGACTGACATGGAGAAAGGATAATTGTCTTGATCGACACTTCTCAAATTAAACCACCAAATAATTATTTCGTTCATTTTTCATTTACAATAAATCCAAGATCTTTAAACATAGATCAAAATAGAATTTGTTTGGCATAATAACCCACTGTATAATGTATGTATGAGATTTTAAATTTTCGGCGGTTCTCGCTAAATAACGTACAGCGCCACCTGCTTTCACCTTTTGTGGCTTAGAGAAAGAAAGCATCTCTATCTTCAGACATATTCTAAGATAAAGCTGCTTTAAGTCAATGCTCAAATTGAGTTATATGGTAGACCGATCGTTGAACAATTTATTCGAAAGTGCATGTCTAGTTCTAATTTTTCAAATTCATGATCAGCACACTAAAGATGTACAAGACCAGTCATCAAGCACCTGTTTTAGTCATACATATAATCTGTTTAAAAAAACTGTAAACATATTCCGAGATTGGTGTATTAAATTTGTTTTTAAACAATGTAGTTGTTTATCCATATTTTCGCTTATAAAATAATATAAACATGGGCCATAGTTGAAGTTCGTCTTTAAGTTAAGTCTTAAAACACAACTCACATTAAATAGTAGAACATTATTTTTTGTGTGTGAAAGTGCATTAACAACTAACAATTTACCATTCACTAGATAGTTTTGAGTATTACATTCAGATAAAATTTCTCTGCCATTCTGACTGACCTGACCGATTAGCTAATTGGGCATGACTGGTCATAGCGGTCTATTTTATTTTTCGCTTGATATTTTTGACCTGTCTGACTGCTTACTTAACGAACCCGAAAAAAGTTTATGAGGACAATATTTTCCCATTGACTTAACTGTCTATGTCTCTGTCTATGATTTAATTCTTACTTTTTTAATATCTATTTTGTGTCTGTTTGAAAATCAATAATCTTTAGAAATATAATATAATTGTATAGATAATTCATAGTGATATGAAGGTAACTGGAAAAAGCGTAGAAATAAAGAGGTAATAGACATATTCAAGAAACCAAAAATAACACAAATAATTAGAACACAAGGAGCGAGATGGTTAGAGCACAATACAAAAAAATAAAGCCAGTTTCAACAATGATTATCTGCATTGATATTACTGGTCAATCAATAACCAGAGACATTATGCCAGAGCTGAAGTATAAGCTTGACAGGACACGTACAACGTACAACACAAAAAGGTTATGTGTGAAAAAATATTAGGAAAAAGAGCTCAAGGAAGAACGAGAAATAAATGTAAGGTTGAAATGAGAAAGACTGCTTATGCAGGTCTTTTCTACTAGGAATTAACAATACTAAAGATAAGCTGAGGTTTTCTTAAGACTGTTAAACTGCAGTATAGTTAAAGATACGACTAGTGATATCATGAGATACCATACCACATGGGTTGAGGTAAAGGCTAAAGGTGCAGATATGCAATCATTTTTGAAAGATATTTTAAGTAGTGTACAATTCACAAATAATTGTTAAAAACTCAGCATCACACACTAATCTTTTTACCAAAACTTTAAATACCCCCTAAATTGTTCTATTCTATTTCAAGACTGCAACAATTTTTAAAGAACCCTTGATTGTAAACATAAAAAATTATTCAAAAGTGCAAATATTTTAAATTTATTTTATGTTCAAAAGAGCACAGGTATATTTTTACAAGAATTAATTAATATTTTTTTGCGACTAATCCCTGTATTGTGCTCATTTACATGCAAACCTGTAAATAGGGACCGTGATCGTGTCATGACAATTTGCGGTTTCGGATGAATCTGTCGAAACGTGTTGATGATAAAACTGAAGCAAGCAAATATGTATCGGTGGTTACATACAAAGCAATTTTCCATTTTTCACACTTGGGCTTTGCGGTTTTCGACACGCAACAAAGCATGATCCATTAAATTTTTATTTGTTTTATCGTACAAATTCGTTATATGAGGTCACCATAAATAGGTACCTGTCAGGGGTGAACATTTTGGTCAATTCAAACTTTAAAATAAATAATTTGACGAAAAAAAAATCTGATGTGTCCAACACATGACTTTCCTATCTAGTTATTACAGGCTTTCTCCGGTTATTTTGTACAACCTAGTGCAGCACCTCCATAAATTTTTAGGGGATAAAATAAATATATACATTTTCCACATACATCTACCTCGAAACATTTTTCTATAGATGTTCATTGAAAATGAAAATACTGAAAAATTTAAATTTAGCACTTTTCCTACAATTTTTCCATTACGGTCCATTTTAGAAAAATGATGTATAAACAAAAATTATAGAGATCGATATCGCAAACAACTTTTATTTCAACAATTTTCATAAAAATCAGAATTTTGCACATTTTGTCAAATTTCTCGAATACGGACCATTTCAGGAAATTTTGACATTAAGCAAAAATTATAGATAATAATATTAAAAATAACTTTTATTTGAACAATTTTTTTCTCCAAACATAAATAACAGATATATTCCATAAAATATAAAAACGGCCCCCTATAAAGTACCCCCCAGATGTTCCGACTTTGTCCAAAATCTAATCATTTCACGTCAGGCCGAAATGAAACTTATGTTTAAAATTTAATGTTTTTTCTTTATCCGTTTTTGAATTTTCTTCAAATTTCGAAATTTACACATTTTCTCAAATATCTCGAATATGGTTCATTTTAGAAAAATTATGTATAAAATAAAAATTATAGAAAATTATATTACAAACAACTTTTGTTTGAACAATTTTTATAAAAAAATATTTTTTTACATTTTGTCAAATTTCTCAAATACGGACCATTTTAGGAAAATTTTGTATAGAACAAAAATTTTAGATAATAATATAAGAAGTAACTTTTATTAAAAGAGTATTCTTCCCCAAACTTAAATAACAGATATATTATATAAAATATAAAAATGACCACCTGTAAAGTACCCCCCAGATGTTCCGTCCGACACTGCCCAAAATCTAATCAGCACATTGGACGCTGGAACAAAGCTTAAGTTTGAAATTTGGTGTTCTTCTGTGCATCGGTTCATGAGTTATGCGACACACACGCACGCACGCACGCACGCACGCATGCATGCACGCACGCACGCACGCACGCACGCACGCACGCACGCACGCACGCACGCACGCACGCACGCACGCACGCACGCACGCACGCACGCACGCACGCACGCACGCACGCACGCACGCACGCACGCACGCACGCACGCACGCACGCACGCACGCACGCACGCACGCACGCACGCACGCACGCACGCACGCACGCACGCACGCACGCACGCACGCACGCACGCACGCACGCACGCACGCACGCACGCACGCACGCACGCACGCACGCACGCACGCACGCACGCACGCACGCACGCACGCACGCACGCACGCACGCACGCACGCACGCACGCACGCACGCACGCACGCACGCACGCACGCACGCACGCACGCACGCACGCACGCACGCACGCACGCACGCACGCACGCACGCACGCACGCACGCACGCACGCACGCACGCACGCACGCACGCACGCACGCACGCACGCACGCACGCACGCACGCACGCACGCACGCACGCACGCACGCACGCACGCACGCACGCACGCACGCACGCACGCACGCACGCACGCACGCACGCACGCACGCACGCACGCACGCACGCACGCACGCACGCACGCACGCACGCACGCACGCACGCACGCACGCACGCACGCACGCACGCACGCACGCACGCACGCACGCACGCACGCACGCACGAAAAAAAAAGTACGATCCGACAGGAAAAATTCGAAAAAATTATTTTTCTACGATCACTATTTAAAGTAGATTTGCATATTCAAATCTAACTAGAAAGTGGAAATTTTTCACGAATTGTCATAATTTGACATTATTGGCGCACAGTGCGCCAAAGTAACTGACAAAATTTAATTATGATCGTAGAAAAAATATTTATTTTTTCCAATCAATTTCAAGACGATATAAAATAATTTTTTGTGTTTAGATCTTTTGTTTTTTTGTACACCACTTAATAAAATCATTCGTATCCGGAAACTAGGAACAGAAAATTTGCTTCAGTGGTGAAATTATTGATCGACTTATTAGTAATAAGACATCGATATTTAAAAATTTTAACCAAAGAAAACAACTTTGAAAATCTAAATATTAAAAATAAAAAAATTAGAAACTGGAGACGTAAGAGAAAAACAGAGAAATGTAAATGTAGCAAATGTAGAAAATGTAGGAAATGTAGGAAATGAAATGTAGGAAATGAAGGAAATTAAATGTAGTAAATGTAGTAAATGTAGTAAATGTAGTAAATGTAGTAAATGTAGTAAATGTAGTAAATGTAGTAAATGTAGTAAATGTAGTAAATGTAGTAAATGTAGTAAATGTAGTAAATGTAGTAAATGTAGTAAATGTAGTAAATGTAGTAAATGTAGTAAATGTAGTAAATGTAGTAAATGTAGTAAATGTAGTAAATGTAGTAAATGTAGTAAATGTAGTAAATGTAGTAAATGTAGTAAATGTAGTAAATGTAGTAAATGTAGTAAATGTAGTAAATGTAGTAAATGTAGTAAATGTAGTAAATGTAGTAAATGTAGTAAATGTAGTAAATGTAGTAAATGTAGTAAATGTAGTAAATGTAGTAAATGTAGTAAATGTAGTAAATGTAGTAAATGTAGTAAATGTAGTAAATGTAGTAAATGTAGTAAATGTAGTAAATGTAGTAAATGTAGTAAATGTAGTAAATGTAGTAAATGTAGTAAATGTAGTAAATGTAGTAAATGTAGTAAATGTAGTAAATGTAGTAAATGTAGTAAATGTAGTAAATGTAGTAAATGTAGTAAATGTAGTAAATGTAGTAAATGTAGTAAATGTAGTAAATGTAGTAAATGTAGTAAATGTAGTAAATGTAGTAAATGTAGTAAATGTAGTAAATGTAGTAAATGTAGTAAATGTAGTAAATGTAGTAAATGTAGTAAATGTAGTAAATGTAGTAAATGTAGTAAATGTAGTAAATGTAGTAAATGTAGTAAATGTAGTAAATGTAGTAAATGTAGTAAATGTAGTAAATGTAGTAAATGTAGTAAATGTAGTAAATATAGTAAATGTAGTAAATGTAGTAAATGTAGTAAATGTAGTAAATGTAGTAAATGTAGTAAATGTAGTAAATGTAGTAAATGTAGTAAATGTAGTAAATGTAGTAAATGTAGTAAATGTAGTAAATGTAGTAAATGTAGTAAATGTAGTAAATGTAGTAAATGTAGTAAATGTAGTAAATGTAGTAAATGTAGTAAATGTAGTAAATGTAGTAAATGTAGTAAATGTAGTAAATGTAAAAAATATATTAAGCTTTCTCCCTAAGGTAGAAAGCCCACTAACGCGACTGGTCCTGCGTGTTTTTTCGCAAGGCATTGCTCGCGGAAAGTGTGTAGATGTGTTTAAATTACCATTAGCGCCGTTCTGCCTTGTGGACGCACGCAGCTATAATTAGAAACGAAAAGCCCGCGATTTTCTTGCCACAGGCAGCCAATGATACCATGGATACATGTGAATCCAGTTTCTACGTTTAACTTTTTTCCGAAAAATACATCAAGACCAATGTTAATTCTTCAACCTCCTTTAGTCTGTGTCGCGTGCGACATGTCGCGTGAGTGGGCTTTCTGCCTGAAAGACAGAAAATGTTTATTTCTGTCATGTACTGAATTTTTAGAAGTCAGTCAAAGAAAATAGAAAGCTTTTTATTTTTCGAAATCACTAACATATTCTGTAAAACACTAAACTCGGAACAATATGTGTTTCAATATATATTCGACACTATTACCTCTTATGTAGGTAAGCATATGTATGTGTATGTAACCTACAAAATGAACTTGGTGATTCCACCAAAATTTTTAAACAAAAAAAAAAAAATTATTAAAGTATTAACTACAATTAAAAATGTTGTCTACTACGGTTACACAAGTTTCGGTTGTTCCGGTGTCAACCTTCGGGCCTTCGACGTCGCTCAGACGGCAGCTAGGGGGTGGATAGCTTACAAAAATTCCGGAAATAGTAGACAAATAAATAGGCGCCAACTGGGTCTATATAGTGGCCAAACTATGATCCTATTTCCCCAAAAACCCAGTAAATGAGGAAAGAAATAAAAGACAAACCTCAACTTATGTTCCTTTATAAAGAAAAAAAAAAATATTTAGTAAATATACAAACTAATTACCTGATGGCTTAGATAATAAAAAAAAAAAGTTGGAGGAAATTAAAAGGAAAAACTTACACAGTGTATGTATATGCATAACCCAAAAAAATTAATAAATGTATCAAAGTATGGAACGGTTCGTCGTTAGCTTGGTACCAGGCATGACGCTTGCGCAAAACATTAATTTCCACCTTACATAAAAAAAATATAATATAATAGTTAACTTAAATATTGTGCATCACCGTACCTATACTACTTCATATATTATAAAAACAGTAAACTTATAATCTTTATAATCTTATAACCCTCTCCAAATTGGAAGGCGATATCTGCTTAACTTTTGGTTAAGACCAAACTACCCAAAAGAAAATTATTAAACCATGAAATTTTATAATTAAGTATAATTCATAGAACTAAATAAAAATATCAAAAAAAATAATAAAAATACAACATATAAAGGACTTTAGACAGAGGTTATTTAATTAAACTCCCAGATTGGAAGAGGTTACTTAATCTCTGCCCCCACACGGGTCTTCTGAGATTGCTTAACTTAATCGTTAAGTCTGGACCATTTAATAATGAATAAATTGAAAAAAAGTAAAATTATGGCAGTAGCCCTTAATAACTGAAGAATTACAACTTAAACGTGGAAGCAGTCCAAGTGTTCTGCGACCCGAAGGATTACTACATCAGCATTAAGTGCTTAAATTAAGTAAAAGCTTTAAAATATTAATCAATTAAACGATGTAACATTTGATAATACTTAAGTTATGAGTGAAAGAGACCTAGAACATTCTGTGCTCAAAAGTATAAATAATGTTGAGAAAACCTTGACAACATTCGGTTGAAAGTGAATGTATAGTTTAACAATGCACACATGAAACCTTCAGTATAAAGTATAAAAAAAACCTGATAGTAGGGTGTCTTCTTTCACAGCATTCCCATCTTCCTATCCAGAACAAGAAACATTCTTGTAAATCTAGCTACAAGTAAACTAGGTGGCTAGCATACCAATGTTCTGTGTCCCCTCGATGAGTCCACGATGAAACCGTTGAACTCCGGACGATATAACCCTCTGTGTACAACTGTTGAAATCCTGGGTCAACAATCCCTTGGGTCAAACTGTCGTCGAATCCTGGGCTAACAACCCCCTGGGTTAAACCCTTAAAATATTACAAAGAAAAATGTCAATACACATTGACTCAAGTATCCCGAACTATAGGATTACCCAAAAATGTACATAAACTAGAAAATATTCAGTATCTAGGATAAAGAAAAACTACATTGGCTCAACAGTGAGTCATAAACAGTATTATGAGCTCCAATAATTAAAATTCTGTTACACATGGTTGGTAACATAACCTAATATATACAAAACATACCTTTTTCGTAAAGGGTTAACTTGGTAGCCTTTCAAGGATGAGAACCACGTGAGATGATTCACAGCACAACAATATTCCACACTCCAAATGCTGTGAACTCCCGATTATTGCGTTAAAATCCTATATTAGTTATGGGCTGGACCAATGACCATGGGAATTTACCAATTCACTAAAATTCCCCTCAAAATACGAAATGTCCATTTACCCACAATTAACCATGAAATAGAATCTAAAATCCCCTTTAATTAGGGTAAGCCGATGGGGCTAAATATTAAGAAAATTCTATTTCGACACAAAAATCGTCTCTCGTGACTGAATACCCACTGACAGAAAAAAAACAATCCGTCAGCCGTCCAAAATGGCCGAAATCCCTTTCCGATAAATGTCAAGTGGGTTCAGAAATTCATCCTCAAGAATTCCCCACTATATAACTTAACAGACCATTTACGAAAGGTACCCTAAAAACTATATTTATATACAGTATAACTACATTTGGGAAACTGTTCCCGACACAAAAATTAATAAACAGCGATCGCAAAAAAATCCCTCACGACTTAAAATCGCTCATTGTGAAACTACCTTACCTCGGGTTCTGAGCCCGATATTGGAACGTCCCACCAACATGACACTTGTCGGTGTTCTGTCGTCAAATGACGTTTATGTCATTCACTGTCACAATTAATAAACATTAATCCAATTCTGACAGCTATAAACAAAGAAAATCTTAAAGAATGGTATCGTAAATAATTAATTACCCAAAGGTGAGACTATAATACATAATATATATAAATTTACAACGAAACTTGGTCTATTTCTAGGAGAGTCTGGCAAATTAAAACAGTGAACACTACACCGCAAATATGACCATTGTACAAAGTATTATACTACCTTTTACTTAGTGGTGAGATGAAATAAATTATAATAATGATGTCCAAAAGTTAGAATACAGGTGAAATTAGTTAATGACAAAAATAATAGTGATATCATCAATACGATTTTACCCTTTTTTTTCGTATGATTAACCAGGTAAGCCAAAACAATGTTATTAATTCGTGGGGCCAAAAATGAACGTTACAGATTCCCCCCTTACTTCAAGAGAATTCACTCAGGTGAATTCTCACCAGCGCTAGCTGTCTTCAAATCTTTAATATTCCAAGTCCCTTTGTCATTACCTTTTTCGTCCATCAAAACATATGTCCACGGAGATACCTTTTTCTTAACTAAATAGGGACCAACCCATCGAGGTGCTAGTTTCTTAGTATAGTACCGCGCAGCATCAGAAGAAACAAAATTCTTACGCCAAACCAATTGATGAGGAAGCAATTCCTCCTTACGCCGCCGAAGATTATAAACCCTTTCGTTTTTCTGCGAAGCTTTATCTAGTCGTTCCCTGACGTCCTTAAACAAATCATCAAATGCCTTGTTATTCTCAACATTATTAATACCAATGTCAGCAGAACAATCTCTCAGTTTATCTTTAATTGCAAATTCGCTACCCTTTAAGACCATATTTCTCCCAAAATTAAGATAGTAAGGAGTCTGTTTAGTAGACTCGTTAAAAGAAGTACGTATAGCACAAGTCACTTTTGCTAAGTCAACGTCCCACTTTCGGTGATTATCAGAAACATACATAGCCAACATCGTTTTTAAAGTCCTATTATACCTTTCAGTAGGATTCGCCTGAGGATGATAATGGGCGTTAAACCGTACCGAAACTTCATACTGCTTCATTAATGAAGAGAACGCTCCCGAAGTAAACTGTGGACCATTATCGCAAAGCAACAAACGCGGAATACCAAACAACAAAAATACCCCCTCTTCAATTCGTTTAGCTACTATTGGTGCAGTAGAGGATTTCAAAGGAAAAGTAAGCGTAAACTTGGTGAACAGATCGACAACGACTAAGATGAATCTATTGCCAGCCATGGATCGAGGTAGTGGACCTATCAAGTCAGTAGAAATAATTTCCCAAGGACGGGTAGCTCTGGGTTGGGGTGTCATATGTCCTTTAGGGCCACTCTGGTCAACCTTATGCGCTGCACAAACCGAACAATTCCTAACAAACGCAGCCACATCTGACCTAAGTTTGGGCCAATAAAACCTTTCACTAACACGCTTAAAAGTTTTCAACACACCCATATGTCCAGCTAAAGGCAAATCATGCAATTGTTGCATAACCCCTCGCCTATCCCCTTTAGGAACAACTTCTTTCCAATCGTCAGCAACATCTCCTAAAGCCTTATAATTTGTTCTAATGTGTTTGAATAGCTTACCATCAATGACTCGCCACTGTGAGTACTTTATAGGGTGTTTTAACACCTTATCTATCATACCACTGTACCAACGATCTTTAACAACAAAAACCTCACTAATCTCAACATCCGGTATAGCCCTAGACAAAGTATCCGGCACAACATGATCTTTACCCTTGCGATGAACAATCTTAAAGTCGTATTGTTGGAGTTTGACACTCCATCTGGCTAATCGACCAGCAGGGTCCTTTAGATTTTGTAACCAAACCAGGGAATAATGATCGGTGATTACTGTAAATGAGACACCCTCTAAATACGGTCTAAGTTTCTCTACTGCCCATAGAACAGCCAAACATTCACGCTCCGTAGTGGAATAAACACGTTCCTGCTTAGTCAACGAACGACTCAAATAACTAAATACTCGATCCCCATCTGGATGAATCTGAACGAGGACAGCACCGAGTCCATAACCACTAGCATC